GAAGCTATGCCATCAAGTCAGTGTCAATTCTTGGTGACCACATAGATTTTCTCCACAATTATCTGCCCCTAACTTGGTCTTTCAGGTCTTCCAATGGTGAACCCACCACCTCTGTAACTAAGTCCATCCATTCTGCTGGTGATCACCCTCTTTATCTTTTCCCATCACCTTTCCCAGCATTACAACCTTCCCCACAGGGCTGGGGTTTCCTATAATGGATTTGAAGTATGATCCGTTTGAGCTCAGTTGCTTGTGCTTGGAATAAGAACTCTGTGTTGATTTGGATCGGTTGTGGGTTTTTTTTAGTTAATTTAGCAAAAATGACTCATAATAAAAAAAATCGAACTTGATAAGCAATTGCATTATTAAGTTTATATATAAATATATTAACGATAGCACTTGCATATATACACATATACCATTGCCTTTCTACAATATGGGAATTCTCTGGAAACAGCAGAATTGCAATTACAAAACTAAAAAGGGGGGCAAAGAGCTCTTCCGATGCTCGGCTATGAGATGAACGGAGAACTTTATGGGGGTCAGCGGGTGCTAGGCAGATATCCGCCCCCCCCCCAGCCAAGTTTTCTCCTGCTCCGTTGGGCTAAATCGACAGCCGTGCCAACGTGCAGCGGCCTTCTATTGCCCTCTAGAGGCCAGAGCTGGGAAAGTTCCTTATGATGAAGGAAATGGCCAAAGGTCGGGGTCTCTGGGTGGGCGCAGGTAAAGCCAAACTGTTGGGCGGGGCGGGGCGGGGTAGGGATATGGGGCGAGGATTCTTCGTGCAAAATGGGAGCGCTGCTTGCAAACTTTAGCAGAGGATCCTGGTTAGTATTAATAGAGTATGCTCTCCAAGATCGAACTCTACAATTTAAAATTCATGAGGGGAGGGCACCGTAATAGGTCAATGTTGGTTAATCTAAGGGAGATAAGCGGTTCCAAAATGGAAAAAGTAAAAATAAAATTGGGGCAAGGATAGGATTCAGGGCTTCAGCCCAACTGGGCTATTGTACTGTACAAGTACAGTACTCATTTGATAATAGTAATAGAAGTTGGTCATTTCCAGACTAAAACCTGTCTTAGGGAACAGAACATCACATAAAATATGCATGGATTCGGTGATCTATTGAAATGGAAGAAACTAAGACTGAGCATAAAACTGGGATTCATTGCAGCCCCAACAAGTTTTTGTAAGTAAGAGTTGAAGTATCTCATCTCTAGATTCTGTCCCTGACTGCACGACTGAAGAGACCACACTTATTAGAGGACCAAGATCAGACTTATTTTCAAGCACAAATCTTAATAGCACTAGTATGGAACAAGGACGATGCTTAACCTGGCTACTTAATTGTTTTCTAGGTTCTTATAGTACACATTGTCAAACTAACTTAACACGCAACACATGGAGTCACTAAAAGGCTATTCCAACTTTAATCAAACTCAACATGCCCCTGCCAATTTAGTCTGCTGGTAAAGCCATATAAAGAGAAATCAAGGCTTACAAAGCTAATGGCTGAGTTCACACAACACACTAAGTCAGGGGTCTTCAAACTTGGCCCTTTTATGACTTGTGGACTTCAACTCCCAGAGTTCCTCAACAAGGTATACTGGATGAGGAATTCTGGGAGTTGAAGTCCACAAGTCATAAAAGGACCAAGTTTGAAGACCCCTGCACTAAGTCAAACCACTCACAGCTCATGATGGCTTAGTGTGGAGTACAAATTCAGGTTTCTTCAAGATCAGCAGATTGTTCCTTCTACCAAAAGTTTCTCCAACAACAAGTCTTACCTTTCAGGGAGTCTGCAGAGAAATCCTCCTTTGACTTCATGTTGGCCAGCTCACATAGATAGTCCATCTTGATGGAGTTTCTTCCAGGTAGAGTAGTAGTAAAGGTGCTGAACCAGAAATGGGGAAGGCATAAATTCTAAGCCTCCCTTTGACATGAGACCCAGATGGGCAACTTTAGGCCAATCCCTCCCTCTCAACGTAACCCATCTTACAAAATTGTAATTGTGGGGAAATAAATGGAAGGAGCATTGGGTATGCCACCTTCAGTTTTATAAACTAGGCAGGATATGAGTCTAACCCAGTGTTTCTCAACCTTGGCAGCTTTAGATATGTGGACTTCAACTCCCAGAATTGTTATAAGATGACAAATAGAGTAGTTGTATTTATCCTAATACTATTAAAGTACCCTAATTACCCTAATTAAAAGGAGCATGTTAACCAGGCAGATCAAAGGACATGAAAATCATTATGAGTAATACGCTTGTAAATGTAAGACCAATACTAGTTGATGTCCAATATTTTGCACCAACAAAGCCAAGTCAAATTTCATTTGCAGGAAGCAAAGAATGAAATGGGGGAAAACTCAAGAGAAGCTACCCTTAGTTGCCCAACATTTTCAAAAACAGACCCAAATCCAAGTTGTACCTTCCCCCCAACCTGTGTGCCCCTACTCACAGATCACATTGTTGCTGCAGTGTGTTAGAGCATCAACAGCTTTCTGCTGTTGTCAGCAGTTGCATCTTTGATAAGGACCAAACTTAGAGTTAAGTTCATAGAGAGACACCAACCCCAGATTTATTAACTTATATGCCATCAAGTTGTTTCCAATTGCTAGTGGCCCCACAGTTTTTCTCTGTGATGATCTGGTCCTAACCTGGTCCTTCAGCTCTTCCAATGGTGCCCCCATCATTATTTTAACTAGGTCTGTCCACTTTGCTGCTAGTCATCCTCTTCTTCCTTCCTTCCATCTTTCCCAGCATTACAGCCTTTTCCGGAGAGTTGGGTCTTTGCATAATTGCTGGAGCAGTGACAGATGGTGCTATGTTATGACACATTATACCAATGGAGGCACATTTGACAAGCTACTAGGAGACAAGAGGCCTTGAAGAACAGAATAAGCAAGCTGAGAAGAATACAAATTTTGTCCTTCATCAATGGCATTAAATTGACCCAAGGATGATTGCATTTATTTAGCATATTAAGAGAAATACGTATATGGAATTTTTATTCTAACCTTTAGGCTTCACCAAATTGTCAAAACATTGCAGGTGTACGTAGTGAAGTTTTATCAGGGTTCTCAAATGGATTAGAACCTAGGATTGGATTAGATTAGGATTGGTTCTCAAATGGATTAGAACTAGGGGTTCTAAGTAATACAGTTCTTAGTGCCTGTAACTTTTATTGCTGGCTCCCCCAACATTGTCTCCTGTCAGACTTCCAAGATTTTCAGCTCCCAGAATTCTCAACAATGGCTGGGTTAGTCCAAGGCGATTCTGGGTGTTGGGGAAATGTTACTCTACAAGAGGTGAATTTTGCAGTCTGTTCCAGTTTTGAATGTAGAACCAGTGAATATAAGAAACAATTAACTAAAAATTCAATTTTCCCAACCATGGAGGGAAATTTTACTTTCCCCTTCCTCCCAAAACTTCACCCCATACTTTCTGAGTTGAAGCAACAGTGATGTGCTCCTTAGATGCTTTCACTAGACAGCACTTTGGAAATTAGAATAATATTTTGTAACTATCTCAAAGCTTTATTGTTACAAGGATAAGCATGCAACAAAAGTTGTAAAACAAACTATTCACAAAATGGCTGTGTCTAACAGCCTCTCCCTGCTTGCTGCTTTCCTGCTGTAAGAGAATCCCAAAGGTACTTTTTTTTCAAAAGGCAAAAGACTTTTGTTTTTCAAATTCCAGTTGCCTTCTGAAAAAAACACCTTTGGGATAACCATGACCTGGATGACTAAGAAACTCCATAGATATTTACTGTAAGAGAATTGACTTGACTTCTGTGTATAGGCTGAGCATTAAATCTTTGAGCTGCAACTCAACATATGGTCCTCATCCTTTGCGCCTCTCATTAATTTAGTCAACTAGTTCAATACTAGATTGGTGCCAGATAAGGGTCAATGGAATTCAAGGGTGGGGCTTGGACCCTTTGTGGCAATGTGAGGACTCTAAGTTATCTCTGCCCCCCCCCCAGCTCTGCCTGCTCTTCTCCTACAATTACTCATTTGCTTGTCCTATTTGTTGCAGCTCAACAGCAGAATCCCTGTTTTTTATGGAAAAGGTTCCTGTCTGTCAGCATTTCAAGGTTGAGAAACATCTCTGCCTGAAACTTTAGGACAGAGATCTCCAAACTTGGCCACTTTTAGGACTTGTGGACTTCAACTCCCAGAATTCCTCAGCCAGCCATGATATGGACCCAATCATTTTCCTTTGTTCTGAAGGGCCTTGAAAAGTTTGGAGTGGAGCAGTAGTGAGGTACACAAATAGTTAAGCATTCCTGTTCAGAACTGATTGCAATGTAACTTAAGCCAAAAAGTTGCTTACATACATTTGCATGCAGTATTTAATTAGTTCTCAACACACAGTGGTTTGTTTTCATGTCTGCCCCTCTAGGTTAGCTTTATCTTTGGTTTCTTCCAAATTAAAATGGAATTCTCAGCTGTAATATCTCATCAACATACCTTGAAGATAGAACCAAACCATTTTGTTCTTAATTATTAATCAGTGATTAATCACAAACAGTGGAATGACCTCCATCCAGAAGTTGTGGGTGCTTCAACACCAGAAGGTTTTAAAAAGAGATTGGGAAACCATTTGTCTGAAATGATATAGGGCAGTGGTTCTCAACCTTTCCTTCACCACGGACCCCCTTTAAAACCTTTTGTGGCCATGGACCAGCAAGAATTAATTCAAAATTTAAACCATAACATTTCTTCAAGCCTTTGTGCACCCTTTGTGATAACATTGCGTCCTTCCTAGGGGTCCATACACCACAGGTTGAGAACCATTGGTATAGGGCTTCCTGCCTGAGCAGGGGATTGGACTAGGAGACTTCCAATATGCCTTCCAACTCTGTTGTTCTGTTGGAGTCCCTGACTTCAGAACCACAGATATCATCACACCCGATATTTTGAAGTAGATCCCTGTGCCCATTGGAGCAACTGGTGTAGGAATTCCCATGTCCCAGAATGGACAGAGCCACAATGACAGGTGAGCATCAGTTTACTTTTTTCCATTGAGTGTTTGGTTTAGACAATTCTAGTACTTGCTCTACATGGCACAAAGTCATTTGAAAATAAGAGAAAAATAAACATTAAAGTAACAAAAGAGGAAATTCCTCATCATGCAATAGCTGTACACATTTCGTTACTAGTTCTGTTCCTCCTAGGTAGAGGCAGAACTTGAGCAAACCCTGACATCCCAAATCACTCTAGCAGGATTCACTTGTTTGCTGAAAATCCTTGATAATTTAATAGCAAAATTATAACAGGGAAAGTATCTGCCATTTTGAATGATTTTACATCCTCATTACATCTACTAGGGCTGCTTCTCAGACCTAGCTCCCTCCCTACAAAAAAAAAATGTCCATCTTACCCCAATTTAACTGACTTCCAGAAACAGGAATCCAAAATACCCATGCTAACTAGGGGATTCTGCAAGCCCACATAGCAACTGAATGCCCAAGATGGAGAAGGCTGATAAGTAGATGAAACTAGCCACAGATCCATCGATGGAGGATTCGTAACTGCCTTATATCCAGTGACTGACATCCTTTTCTAAAATTGGTTATCGCAAGAACAGTTGCCTATTCAAAAGCAGATTCTCAGCGTACTTGGATGACCCTGAATCTATCATGGTTAATTTGTTATTATTTACTTTTGTCTTTATAGTGATGAGGAGCAGGAAGGGGACCAGCTTGGGGTTAGGAAGTGCCTATTGTCTCATATAAAGGATTCCAGGAAGGCAGCTTTGGGAGAATTTGGAGCGACAGTGCCAAAAGAAAAAGGTCAATGCTTTGATTTTGTCTCGGTGAAAGTCCACAGGATAGGAAACAAAACATTTTGGTAGCTGAGAGCATAGTCAGAAAATGGGAAGAGAAAGTCCCTGGGCTGATAGTCTTTCCTTTAAAGGTCTCTTCCTTGACATCTGGTGACCTCTCTTGCCCAAAATATGCACCCCAAACCTAGCAAAATAAATAAAACAGGGGTTTCGGGGTCACTGTTGGGCTAAACAGTGGATGGAAATGCCAAGGGGATCAACCAATCCAGCCAATTAAAGGTCACACCTCTATGAACTTTCTAAGAGAGGCCATCTCTGGTAACATAGGAGAAGTCTAGGGCAGGGGTCCTCAACCTTGGCCACTTTAAGACTTGTGGACTTCAACTCCCAGAATTCTGGGAGTCTTAAAGTGGCCAAGGTTGAGGACCCCTGGTCTAGGGTATTTGACTCCAAATTACAGAGTCAGAACTGCGTATAGCCCATCCTTCCTTCCTCCCTTGCTGTTACAGATGCCGATTTTAAATGTTACTTTCAATCTGCCTCAACAAACTATACTTTGTGATTTAAATAAACTGTTGATCACGAAGTGAGGCCTTCCAAATCCATGTTCTCATGACATCAGAATCTTCCTCTGCTTTGGAGACTTCACTAGACATTGCCTGCGCAGGCACTGCCAAACCAATCTTTGCAGCCTTAAGAATGGAAAATTTACATTTCCTCAAACGAAAGCAGGGAGCAACCCACAATCTGTGGCCTTCTATGCTCAGTATTAATGTCTGCCTTTGTATAATGTAACTGCAGAACACACACAGCCCTCCCAGTGAGGGCACCAAATATAGTACAAAGACAGAATTCCATTTAAGTAGTTCATTCAAACCTACTGCGTTTTTTTAAAGAGACATCTGATGAGAGGGGGTTGAAATGTCAGCATTTCAACCTTGCAGGCTGTTTTTCTTTCCCTGCTTTATTTCATCAGTGAACAGTTCAAAGGTTCTCTTATTTTTGGCTGCAACAGGTACAACATCTTCGTGTCACTGGCATATAGGTGCAAAGAGCATCAGCAGAACTGTAAAACAAAATGTTTTCTCTTTAATAATGCAGGAAATTGCAATCCAGATATTTTGCCACTCTGCAGCAAAATACTAAATTCTGCACCAGCAGTTAACACAAATTGGGCATAAGCCAAGCTCCCTATGAAATAAGGAAGGGTTAGGTTCAGAGAGCACCAAAGACCTCAGAGACATAGTGTTTGGGTGGAATTATGGGCTTGTGTGATGCATCGCTTGGTGCCTCCTTCAAAGAGCTGCCTGTTTGTCTGAGATTACACACTAACACAACAAGACACTTCAGAAGAGAAGTGTGCATGCTGCCAATACCTGAGATATTTTGCTGGGATCGCACAACCACTGCACACCCCATGGAAAAGATGCAATTTCTGGAAGACCTTCCTACCTCCAAAGTGCCATTTCACACTTTGTACAATGCAGACACAAAAAGAACAGAAGTTGCATTGCATTGGCATAGTACTTACTCCCCCTTTCAGAACCTCTGAGTCTGGAGATGAATTACTGAATTTTTAAACTTTTTTATCTATCAAATTTAGGAATTACTCATCTCACTCACCTAATGGGCAGTGTACAGCTAAAAGCATAAAAAAACATAAAAATACAGGTAATCCTTGACTTACACCAGTTCACTTAGTGACCGTTCAAAGTTACAATGGCACTGAAAAAAGTGACTTATGACCATTTTTCACACTTAACAACTGTTGCAACATCCCAGTGGTCACATCATCAAAATTCAGATGCTTGGCAACTGACTCATATTTATAAGAGTTGTAATGTCCCAGGGTCACGTGATCCCCTTTTGTGACCTTCTGACAAGCAAAGCCAATGGGGAAGCCAGATTCACTTAACAAGCACATTACTAATTTAAGAACTGCAGTGATTCACTTAACACTGAGCTGTGGTGGCACAATGGTTAGAATGCAGTACTGCAAGCTAATTTCACTGCCAACAGTTTGGCAGTTCAATCCTCACCAGCTCAAGATTGACTCAGTCTTCCATCCTTCCGAGGTTGGTAAAATGAGGACCCAGATTGTTGGGGGCAAAATGCTGACTCTGTAAACTGCTTAGAGAGGGCTGTAAAGCAGTATATAAGTCTTAAGTACTATTGCTATTGCTAACTGTGGCAAGAAAAGTTGGGAAAGAGGGCAAAACTCACTTAACAAATGGCTCAGCAGCAGGAACGTTGGGCTTCATTGTGGTTGTAAGTTGAGGACTACCTACTGCTGCCCTTGGAGGTCTTCTGGCCAAAGGGAAGATGAATTACCCCAAATTTAGGGATTGCCCATCTCACTTCACTGAATAACTCTGAGCAATGTACAGCTAAAAGCATAAAAACCATATAAAAATACACAGGCGATGCTAATCATCTGCTTCAAGCATTTACTAGCATTAGTACAAACCTTCCAGCGATTGCCGCACTCATTACATAGCACGAAAGTCGTCATGGGCTCATCAGCACTCCGGGTTTGCACCTGATTGTAGGTGCAGTTCTTTTTCTTGCACTTTCCGCACTGGAAGAGGTCGGTTGCAGTACCTCCTGTCTTTGCCATCTGATGCTCTCGAATAGCTTCTTGGGTCATGGCATTTCTTAGTTCCTTCAGTTCATCACTAGCCATTTCCTGCAATGCACAGCAGCATTCACTGCACCAACTGCAGCAGCGCCCGTTTAGTTAGGCAGCTTTCATCAGAGTTCAGTCTTGCTGGCCCTGTTCGGTTGCAAAGCTAGTGGGAGCACTGGCACACAATGCTCAATTTGGTTTTAACCTTGGTTAGAAGTTTTTTTAGGGGAGATGACTTTATCTGATAGGTGAACCTGGTTAGTGGATGGTTATGCAATCCAGAAAATGCTTACTTTAAAAAGATTCAAAGCAGGGTACAGACACAGCCACAGGTTGTTAATTTGAGTTGAGAGATTAAAAGACTTGGATCAACTGGGCAGCAGGAAAGATCAATGGCTGAGCTAACCCATAATGTAGCCTGTTTGGTTTTGGCTTCAATCAGTTGCTAAACTAATGGTTGTAAGTCAAGGACTACCTATATATAAATAGTTCTCGTCTTACAACAGTTCCTTTAGTGACCGTTCAAAGTTACAACCTTTGCAAGTTGTATGACCATTTTGCACAGTTACAACTTTTGCTTGGCAACTGGCTCGTATTTATACGGTTGTGTACAGGGGTCATGTGACAAACAGAATCAACGGGGAAGCCAGATTCTCTTAACAACTGGGGTTACTAACATAACAACTGCAGTGATTCATTTAACAACTGTGGCAAGAAAGGTCGTAAAATGGGGCAAAACTCACTTAACAAATGTCTCACTTAACAGCGAAATTTGGGGCTTAATTGTCATAAATCAAGGACGACCTGCACAGGATTACACTATGCTGTGCTGTACTAATCTATTTAGCCAATGACCAGCATAAAACTTGCATGAACCCAGATATGCAATAACTGTTATATATCATTAAAACAGCTACTATATTTACATTTTAAAATGCAATTAAAGACTTAAGTTAAGGCAATCAAGCTTAACAAACAGATACATTTAAGATCTGATGTACCAGATCTCGATGCAACAGACTTTGCACACTATAAAGCCAGTCACTGTGACAATATCCAGCTTTTGCATAATGACGCCATCATTCAACCAAAGTAAACTGCCCTGGTCACACCCTCTCTCATTTAACAGGCAATCAGATGTTTCCTTCCCCCACAACTGACTTGTTAAATTCAAATTTTATTTGTATTATACAGACCTGAGAAAAACAATATATCGCCTCTTTCTACTGACCTCTGCCGTCATCTTTGCAATTAGGGCTGGCAGGATGGTTCCACACAGCACATTGCGGCGCAAGCCAGGATTCTTGGGGTCCTTCAGGTTGCTAATTCTGCTCCTCACTCGGTTTCGGTATTTCATATCTGTGCTCTTCAGTTCTTGGTAGATATGTGGCAGCATTAAGGAATAATGTTTATTTTAGTCTGGACTAGTTAGTTTGTTCTAGTGATTAAAATACCAGGCAAGAAACCTGTTGTGCCTTAGGCATGCAATTTGGCTGAGTGACTTTGGCCAATCACCAGGAGATGGTGAGTTCTAGTCCCGCCTTAGGCATGAAAGCTGGCTGAGTGACTTAAGGCCAGCGATCCTCTTTCAGCCCAACCCACCTCACAGGGTTGCTGTTGTGGAGAGGAGGAGGAAAAAGTATTAAGTATATTCTCTGTCTTGTGTTACTGAAGTAGTAATAAAGGTGAGTTAAAAATTAAATAAATATGTGGAAAATGAAGAGAACATGCAAAAAAAATGCGTATCTAGGAATTCTTGGGGTTATTTCTGCTTTCTCATCCCACTCTTCTGCTCCAAGGACTTTCCCCCATCTCTGAAGGTTTTGAATTTTGTTTTTCTGGTATTCCGGCAAACCTGGGATCTTTTGCTTCCTCCATCTCCCAGACAGACAGAACAATCCTGCCCACAGCAGAGGCTGAGAATTGCCTAAAACCTAGCTATATCCTTATATATTTCTCATTACTCTCGTTTTTAACAACAACTGATATATTTCCAGAAGAGCACACTTTCTGTCAGAAGCAGTAGGCAATTAGTTCCCATACAAAATTTGGACCCATCTTTTTAGCCTCCTAAACTTTTAGAAAAAAGTTCAAGAAAACATCTCCTGAATTTATACAATTCAAATGGCTAAAGTTTTTGTTTTTACCCATCCAGGCAACATCTGTCCAATCTTAGCATAAACCTTTCCCACTCTGGTGCATTCGCCACCCATACCAATAACTAGCAGACCCAAATATCAAAAAGATATGATCTTCAATCTCGGCTGCCATCTTATCACAGTTGACCCCAAATTCTTTGTAATCATCTTTGATGGTGAAGAAGAAGAGAAAGAAATGAAGATGGGGACAGAAGAAAAAAAATTGTTCAGCACAACCAGATGAAATTCAGTTTTGTGTCCAACCAAAAAAAATTGAACTTCTATGCTTAGATCAGGAATGTCCAACCTTGGCATCTTTAAGATGTGTGGACTTCAACTCCCAAAATTCCTCAGCCAATGAGTTGAAATCCACACATCTTAAAGTTGCCAAGGTCAGATAGCCCTCTTAGCTTAAAAAAATAAATGCATAAAATGAATAACTAATGTAAGGGCAACAATAAAAATTATAATTTCCTATAGAACACCTATTAATATCAATAATGCAACAAACAGTAGTAGCAGCAGGAAATAATTGTTTACTTCTAAATGTGAATTTTTAAACTGTGGATTGTTGTTTCCACTATATTTATTTGAACCAGGAGCATTTGAAGGTGCTGATGCTTTCATTAAAATGATAAGCAACCAACATCCATAAGCTCTGTCCCTTCCATACCCACATTTAATGTCATGACACACACACAAAAGGGCAGAGTTTGCATTGTGATGCTCTTTTCATCATCTGCCTCCCCGCAAATGCCTCTGATTTGGACTCACTTTTTATTTTATTGTTGCTCTTCATTTTATCTTATTTTACTGACTTGCTTTTATTTCTCTTTTATTTTCCTTCCTTTGGAATCTCTATGTTCTGCTGCTACTTGGTGTGGCACCATAAGTAAAATCGATTCTATTGGTATTATCAATCATTTCATGGCACAGTTGGTTAGAACGCAGTATTGCAGGCTGACTCTGCTTACTACTAGGAGTTCAATCCTGACCAGCTCAAGGTTGACTCAGCCTGCCATCCTTCCAAGGTCAGTAAAATTAAGACCCAGATTGTTGGGGACAATAGGCTGACTCTGTAAACTGCTTAGAGAGGGCTGTAAAGCACTGTGAAACAGTATATACATCTAAGTGCTATTGCTATTGCTATCTCTATATCAATTACTGTCGAAATGCCTTTGTAGTCATGTAATCTAATCAATACTAATCAATACTTCAGAAATCACTATTTTATCATTTCTCAATCTTTTGCTAACTCCCAGCACAGTGGAAGCTAGAGATAAAAATATCTGAGCCAGAGTTCCAGGTCAGACTGTAAACTCTTTAGATCCTCTTGACTTTCCTCTAAGTTAACTTCTAACCCCGCCCCCAGGATGTTTTTTTTTTTTTCTCACCATCCATTTTCAGGGCTGCAGAGACCATCTCAATACACTTGTCCCTAATGGAGTCTCCAGTCAAGTAGCAGGAAGGCAAGAAGCAGACAGAAGTCCCAAATGTTGGTGTGACAGGGCTGGCAGGCATCCTGGGCACCTCACTTCGAGATCTGTCATTTAATCTGAGCAGGACATCAAGTGAGATTTTTGTTTTAAGTGAAAAACGCTAATACTATCATGACGACCACTTTAATATAGCCTCTAACCCAAGACAGAAGGCCATTTGGGATCATAGAAGTCAAGAGCAATCAAATGATTTTGCTATCCAAGCCAAACTATGCTACTCACCTCTTCCTTCCCTAGCTGCAAAAATCCAATAGAGAGACATCAGAAAGCTAATTGTTTGCTTTCTTTTCTTGAAGCTCAGGTTGAGCAAGCTGGAGCCCTGCTTAATGGCAGGGCCTGTCCCAAGTTCCAATCTGGCCTGTGCTTACACTTTAAGCCAGGGCTGATGTGATTAATCGGCATGTTCATACAACATGCTTAACTAATTAGGAAAAGATTTAAGAGATGTATTTGTCCAACTTTATGAGCTTGGTTAACATGCATTTCAGTTCAATCTTTGGTGCTTAGCTTACAAATCCAGCCTGACTGGTTGCGTTGGTAAACCCAGCAAAAGGGTTAAATGAATCTCCAGATTACAAGCTTTGTATGAATGCAGCCAACTTTTTTCAAAGCCAATATTGTATGACATGAAAGCTATTTCTTTTGTCTCTCACACACAATATTAGAACTTCCCATGGAAAACTTGTGCAGAATTCGTACGATGCAAAAATGAAGGCTACACAAGAAGTCATATGCCAACAGCCACAAGACATATCCTTTCACAAAAGGACAGTTCTCTGTTTAAACATGTGCTGTTTAAAAAGCTGCCAATTCATATTCTGGCCTATGGGAAAACACCTATAAGGAGGAGCAGCCAGGGATCTTTAAGGAGTTTATCCTACATAAAAAACTGACCATCAAACTGAATAGGTATTCAAATTACTTATTCACATAATGAGATATTTCATGTTCCTTTTTAAGTATTGGTATTATTTTCAAACATAAATCTTTACCAGAATTGCGCACCTCACACCCTGCAAATCTTTTAGCCTGCAATTCTCACGATTTATGACTGGGATAGTGGAAGTTGTAGTTAAAGATATGTGAAAAATTGCCTATCTCTTATAAAAACTACATGTGTAGCCTTTTTCTGTCCACTCTAAGAAGTTGCAGTGAAGTTGATGGCTTAGATGGCTTTCAAGCAATAAAGTCAGATAAAAACATAGGGAGGATGTCCATTAACAACTATTTTTTTTAGGGTGATATATGAAACATCCAGTTCTAAAGCTCTGTGACAGTGAACAGCAGCTCCTGCAGAAGCAACTGAAGAGGGATATTGTCTGCACATGCCTTTGATTGATCTGTTAAACAATGCCAATTGGCAATTGGAGCCACTTAAATTTTTTGGTCCTGCTCCATTCTTACACCTCAAGGTTTGGCTGTCCTCTTCCATGTAGCTAATTTATTCTGTTTTTCCTTTGGTTTGGAACAGCCCCAACCCAACAATACCTTTCATCTTTGCTATCCTCTTTGCTTTTATGAGATCCAGGAGGTGAGGCTGCTGGGTTGGAGCTGGTAGAGGTTCTCCTAGAGTGGATACAGAGAGGTGTGTCATAACAATTTCAGTTCAGGTGATGATAATTCAAAGCACAATTTTAGGACTTTTTAAAAACAAAGATGCAGCAGAGATTCTCTCCATGCCAACATATGTGATCTTATCTCCTCTAAGGTAGGAGTATAAGAAGAGTTATTTCATCAGTTTATCAGTGGAACGACTTGCCTCCAAAAGTTGTAGATGCTCCAACAATGGAAGTTTTTAAGAAGAGATTGGACAACCATTTGTCTCAAATGGTATACAGTTTCCTGCCTGAGCAGGGGGTTGGTCTAGAAGACCTCCAAGGTCCCTTCCAACTCTTGTTATTCTGTATCTTGCTAGATCAGTCGGACCAATGTAGTAGCAGAATTAGCACAAGGGCTGGATTCGCTTACCTGTCAATTGACAGTCTCTTGGGAGAGGAAGTAGAGGAAGCAGCAGTAGAGCTGGAAGATCTTGAATCTTTGGAATCCCTCCTTTATCAGGGAAAAAAAGGGGTGAAGAATATTGGCAAAGATGCATACATCATTAGACCTCGCTATAAAACTGAGTCTAATTCAACTTAAGACTGTAATGACTTATAACAGAAATTCTGATCCCCATAGTAGTCATAATTCAAGGGCTACCTGCAACCTGTCAATCAGAAAGTAATTGCATACACTCCCTGAAAGCTCAGGATGCTGTGGGCTACTGCATTAAAACCCATTAATTCTGGCTAGAGTGGATGGGGAGGGCAGATGGCCAAGTATATAGAATGCAACATCATTACTGCCCTCATTTATAGAAAGCTGTACTGCAATTACAAACTTATTTATAATGCAACATTTGCATATACAAACGACAACAGTCGCAATGGCTGTTGTATTGATGGCGGTGGGGGGGGTGCTCCGTAGATATTCATTTGTCTGCGGTCAGCTTAAGAATGATTCTCCTTTTTCCTTTCTAATTCTTTACATCTTTAAGAACCTTCATTGGTAAAGGGTAGCTTTCTCCAGAGCCCTGAAAACATACCTCTCTTTTTTGAGCTCCATGTGTGACTTTTGGGAAGTAGAAGCGTCTTTGGGATCTCTGCACAGGGAGAACAAATATTAGACTGTGTTACATCTTGACTCCACAATATTCAGAGGCGACTTCTTGATGACGTAATAAATAACTGCTGTCTCAGCTCTCTAATTCACAACTGTAAATCATTTCTCAGTCAATTTTCTCTAGATAAAACAGGATAATTACAAAATATCTGTCTTCTAATGACAAAAGACAAAAAAAAACCACTGAAGCATAAGAAAAGGACACTCAAACTTTACAGATATTCCTCGATTTGTAACCATTCACCTAGCAACCGTTTGAAGATACAACAGACCTCCTTTGGGGTACTTAAAATCAGGTTCCAAAATTCTGATGCCCCAGCAGTTGTGTGAGCAGGTTCAGCAGCCAGCCTGCATTTGTTGCCCATGTGCAGCACCCCACAGTCACATGACCAGGCTGTCAAGATTGACTCTTAACGCACCTCTACCCACAGCTTGACAACAGAGACAACCTGGGGAGGGGAGGGGGAATGCTTGGAATGTATTGGGAGCTGGGATGGAGGTGAGGAATGTATGCGAACCCTTTTCAGCCTGAGAAAATCCTGAGACTTCAAGTCCGTGCAACGGGGACCTTCTGAAGGCGCAGACTTTTCCCAAAACAAAGCGAACATGCTGGATTGGTGGACAATTGATGGGGCGGCCCAAATGGGGAAAAGGGTTAGTGTTAGGGTAAATTAATTATGCTGTTTTTCATGCAAAAACCTCAGCGCTGGCTTTGCTTCTTCCCGTATGGATCTATCAATAAAGTTATACTCTTGGTAAAAAAAAATGTCCTAATAGTTTTTCTTTTGCTGCATATGCCAATGGGATGGTTGACACAGGTTTTACCATGGTTTTGCCAAAAACCAGCATTTGCTTCCAGTTTTCAGCAAAACTGGCCATACTGAACAATTGGTTCATTTAATGACCATGGCGTTCGCTTAATGAATGCTGGGGGGAAAAGGTCAAAATCAGGTCAGATATGTGGGTGAGCCATTTTACAACTGGGTTCCATTACAATCATAAGTTGAGGACTACTTGCCGTGGTGGGATTCAGCCGGTTCGCACCAGTTTGGCAGAACCGGTAGCTAATTTTTTGTTGCCTAGGCCCAGAACGAATTTCCGGAAGCGGCATCCACACAGAGAACCAGTTGTTCACATATTTGAATCCCACCACTGACTACTTTTATTTCCGTTTCTTGCTCAGCTTTCTCCAACCTGGTTCCCAGAGTGAAGTAGATTTGAGTTATGTAAACTGCCAATTGCAGGCTTCTTATTTCAAGGAAAAGGCCCATTTCTCCAGCAGAGTACAAGAAGGCTGTTAGAACAAAAATCACAACATCTCCACCTAAATGTACAAGGGGATTAATTGGTTCTAAGTGCAAAAGCTGAAATTGCTTCCCTGTCATCTCAGTCAGTTTTGCTTGGAAGACTTATTGTCAGATTGAGGCAGCTGCCAAAGAACCTGAAAATAAACAGGATTACAACTGGGATTCCCTGGAGGATTTCTATAAAGTATCTGAAGAACTGTCTTGTCCCGTCCTGCTCTTTCCTCCGAGGAAAGGCAGCTGGAGATTTCCCATCTACTTTCCCCATCCAAGCAGAGGCAATTATTTCTCTGTGGTTGTGCCTCCCTTCCTTGAAGAGCCCCTCCCTCAACATCAACTTTTCCCTTGTTTAGAAAACCCATTAAAACAATGTTGTTTAATAGATCCTGGGGTGTGAAGGTTATCACAGAGATTGAGAGTCAAGAGCAGACCTTTACTGTGAATTCTGATTTCTTTTTTAACAGAGTTTATGATCTGCCCTCTTTTATGGTTTTGGCCTTCTTGTGAACCCCTCCCCCTCCAATCTCTCTGGAATGCAACCGTTTATACAATTTGCAAATAAATAAAAGATGAGCCTCCCTTTGCTTGGTAATCATCCTGGGAGGTTATATGGATGTTCACTAAGGTTTTAGCTTTTTTCTGCAATAGTAACCCCTTTGTTTTGATTAAGCACGACAACACATGTCCTAATACGCATGCCGAGATATGGGATGCGTTTAAGGAAGGATTGGGCAAACATCTCTAGTCATCAGCATCAGGGATGAGTAAAATTGTTCTGATGACATTACAATGGAAGCCCTGCAATTTCTCTACAAGGTTGGAGTTTGCATAATGACATCATAGCCCGTGTGATATCATTTTTCCAACACCCTAACCTGGTCTTTGTGATGTCTCTGTGTGATGTCTTTGATGATGCATCAAAATCTACACAAAATGTGATTTAATAAAGCAAGTAAATGAACTGTATTTGGGGCTATAGAATGCAAAGAATAGGTGCAAAGAATCAGGTTCATTCATAAAGTTGTAGCACAGAAGATTTATTCAAGCTTATACACAAGAATCTCCTCAATTAGTGATCACCACTAAATTGGCTCTAGATAAAGGTCAGCAGAATTCAAGTAGGGTTCGATTTAGCTGACAATGAAGGGATTCCAAACTGATGATGCATTTAACTCTGCCTCCGAACTCTGCCTGCTCTTCTCCTACACAGATCCTACCCAGAGCTGAGAATTGGATCTGATGTCATCTGAGATTTTTCCCCACCCCCTTTTTTACAATTTAGTGAAAACCTGCATAACAATTACAGCTTTCCCCATCTTTCTGATGCCAACTTGAGACCAAAGATGTATGTGTCCTCTTTATAAAGAGGACAGAACAAATCTGTCCTCTTTATCTCCTCTGTCCTCTGCTATCAGAACAAATACCCAGAGTTTCCAAAGTTCATTTTTCATGGTTGTAATGCATGCACAGTCTCTGCAAGGCTTTTCTTTTCTGGATGTGGAAAGGCAATGAAAACTGCATGTGAATAAGGCAAAATAAGTAAGACTGCTGGTAAAGTACCTGGAAGGTGGGGAAGGGGGGGGGGGAGGGAGAAAGACATTTCTCTAGAACTGATGTGGAGTTTAAACTTTTATGAGGTTACAAGTCAAGTGAAATTGCTAAAAAAAAGGAAGCAATAAAACATACAAATAAATCAGAAAGCTGTGGCATTTTTTATCTTTTAAGCTCATATTTACAGAAGATCCTACATTTTGCTTAGAAAGAGCAATCTATATTATTTATGAGTTTGGGTAGTAAGGCGGCTGAGAAATGAACACCCCGTAAGCAAGAAATGTACTGAGTCTCTCTTAATTTTGAAGGCAGCTGTGGGCCAGCAATTTTTTTTTAATACAACTGCCACTCAGTGAGGACCTATTAATGCCATCTCTCTCTGCCTCAATAAAGTGCCACACTTCAATAGATTGTTTCTGCTATTGGCAGAGAAAGAAGAGGTGATTAAAAGGTCAGGTGGATGTTATCACCTGGCACAGCACAAGCACAAAAAGCTGTTGAATGCTGCTTTTGTTAAGGACAGGTAACTACCATACATGGCCAACAGATGGCAGCACCTCTCAAGGCAGCACCTGATATGAAAAAAGCTAAGCAGGAACAAATGTGGCTAGGGTTTGGATGAGTTATCCTGGGGCTACAAGACAGACCAGCTATTTTCAAATTGTATACTTGATGGCATTCCATGAGAGACAGGGAGGGAGGGAGGGAGGGAAGGAAGGAAGGAAGGAAAGAAGGAAAGAAGGAAGGAAGGAAGGAAGGAAGGAAATCAGTTGAACACTGTCAATATTCTATTATTAGAGCTTTGCCTCTTGATTATGGGTCCTGGAAATTCTTTTTTATATAACAGTTTCCATATACAGCTTAGTATGCAATTTAATTAAAGGGTAAAATGATATACAAATGCAAATGTGTTGATTTATGTAAACAGCCATCACTGAATAAAAAAGGCACAAAATTAATCTGGAGGAGAAAAATGAAATATTGAGGAAGAAAGAACAAGGGATTCCATTGGGATCCGCATCTTGTACCACCAATTCTATTACAGAATTGAAGAATATTCAATAAATTGGCCTCTTTTTACTCAGCTTTATAACCCTCAAAGGAGAAGAAGTGCTGCAGACTTTATTTAATAAACTTTGGAGGAACTTCCCAAAGCCATCAGCTCAGCTCACCTCTGTCATCTTTCAAGCAGTGAGTTAGCCGAGTCCAGGGACAAAATCTGACTCACTAGTACTGAAGTGGAAAGTGAAATTAAAGAGGCTCTCTGGCAAAATAAAACTGGCATTTCACCAAGGGCAAACAAGATCAAGGGAGAGACATTTTTCATCTTAAGAAACCTAGAAGCTGACTCCTATCCTGAGATAAGAATGGCACTGAAGGCCTAATAATGTTCTTTAATTCAAAAAGCTAGTAATTACTTTTTAAGCTGTAAACCAGAAGGAGGTAATTTTTTACAGACTGGAAGCTGCATTTGAAAAATAATATTTGCAGCTGTAAAGATTGTAATATTATTGGATGAGCAGAAATATTTTGGCCTTTTGGGGCAAATTAGAGAAGAGTTAACTATGTCCATTGTGCTGATAAATTTCAGTAATCCCAACTCATTGGGGGGGAGGGGTGTTAAGGAAAGTAGTATCTGGCCAGCAAATCTTGTCATTTCTTTCTTAAACGGATCTACCCACTGTAAGGAAAGTTGGCGGAAAAGGAAATTCTTATTTTCTCCCCCACAAAAGCTTGCAAGTAGGGAAGAAAAGGTCTTTGGATATCCAGTGAGGAATCAAAATGCAGGTTCCAAAGCATCAAGGCTATATCTGTACTATTCAATATTAAGAGTATGCACCAAAAGAACAGTAGGTGACATACCCCTGCAAACGAAGAGATGCACTCATATTTGTGTATTTCAGAAAGGAAAATAAGGCATATTTATAAGTAATAATGTAATAGATCTCAGGTTACTTCCTGCCCTCCTGTTATCTGCAGAGAACAACGGGTCTTAGTTAGAAAAAACATTTGCATCTTGAGGTTCAGGGATTGCTGTGGGAATGTTCTGATACACTCTGAACTACAACGACACATTCCTTATGTCTTCATTTATCTATCAAACAATCTCATTCATTTGAAAACCTGATTCCCCCTCCCCCCAAAAAACCAGGTATATCTTGTTCATTTCACATCTTTTACAATAATTACATTTCCAATTACAGAGCATACCTGTCTGGTTTGGAGACCAAGGAAGAACTACTCTTTAGCATGACTTCATGTGAGGTGGATTTATTCAGTTTCCTAGAAAGGAAAACAAGAGGCATGATCAAAGAACTGTCAACCTGTGGAGAAGGTCAGAGCTTTGGGATTGAACTATCTTGCTCTTCAACTTAAGAAATTCACACTTCTCTTTCAAATGCCTCTGTGAAGCCCCAGCTTTCAGGTTTTTCTCCCAAGGTGATAACAATAACTTATTGATCAAAACCAGAGAGTGTGCTTTCCATCTGAATTCAGATAAATCAAGATTTGCAAAGGTTCTATGTGATTTTGAACACTTGAAACTGTAAATCAACAAGCAAACAGAAATCAGCAATCTGCTTCACCACCAACCCTGGAAAAAAAATCACCTTCACCCATTTTTGTGATTTTTTAAAAAAAAATTTTGATTGTGCAATGCCCTGCTTTTTCCAATCCCCAATCAACCATAATTTTCATTTAATAATGTTACCATTTACTAACCAAAAATTATCCAGTTCTGCTTTAAAGCAAGACAAAGGCAAATATCGAGCGAACTGAATCCTTTTTGTTACTACAACTGTAAGATCTAGCAGTCAGATGCAAAAGATAAATGACATTTAGGAAAGCCTCCAATCCCCTCCTTCAATTCTTCCCATTTAGGGAGTCCATTTCAGCACACCCCAAATCTAGAAATTTGATTTCTGCACCAGAATTGAGCTGTAGACTTAAGTATTAATTAAAGCACTCCATTTCTTATACGCATTCTTTTTTTCATGGGTTTTAACAGTCTGACATAGGTGGAAAAATATTTTGTGGGCAGAACAATCAAACAGTTAAAGATTTATGATCCATTACATATTACTCAGAAATCTACTTGTAAACCCTAGAGCTCTTCTGATTTCAAGAGGCTGTCTTTGCTGTGAAGGGGACGGCTGCCCCCCACAACTGCAGACAACCCCGGGAAAGAATGAACTGCCCCAATTTGTGCCCCCCCCCCGTGCACTCTGAATCAAACCCAAAGCAATGCTCATCCTTATTAAATGCCTTCTCTTCACCCTTTCTACTTTAAGCAAGTACCTCTAAGCCTTGATTCAGTGATTCCCCTCTCCTCTTTTCCATTCTGAGCAGTCCAGATACACTATAGCAAGTGTTTCTCATCCTCAACAATATTAAGATATGTGCACTAAAACTCCCAGAAAGCATGCTGGGTGGGTAATTCTGGGAGCTGACGTCCACACCTTAACATGGCTGCAGTCAAGAAATACTGTATTAGAATGTATATCCTATAAAACACATTCTGTTGGAAACTGCAAATTTCTATGTCAGAATATCTTTTCTTATCCAGTTAAATTGAATCCCAAGGTAGTCCTTGACTTACTGTCACAACTGGGACCAGAACTTCCATTGCTAAGCAAGAGAGGTCTATTAAGAAAGTTGTGCCTGATTTTATGACTCTTTTTGTCACAGTAATTAAAAGCAGTTAGGTGAATTATGCATTCCTTAAGCAAATTCAGCTCACCCTATTTGATTTTGCTTCTCTGGGAATATTGCAAATAATAATCACATGACTTTGAGTGACTGCAACTGTCCATAAATACACACATCAGTATGACTGGCACATGCCTGAATTTTGATATCGTGACTGTGGGGATGCTATGATTGTTGTTAAATGCGAGAACCAGTTGTAAGTCACTTTTTTCAGTGCCGTTGTGACTTTGAACAGTTGCTAAACAGATGGTTGTAAATTAAGGACTACCTATGTAAATGAAGACTTAAGCATCCAGGCCAAAAGTATCTGAAAAGGTTAAATCATGGCAACTGGACCAAAGTTTATTAAACCAAGACATTTTGTTACTCATCCAAGTAACTTCTTCAGTCAAAATGACGATTTGGCCGGGATGCTTGAGTCTTCATTTACATATTGCAATACATTTTGGGGAGAAATCCTGCAGTTGGTATGGCAAGAATTACCACAATCCAACAGTTCTCCGACTCTCTGCCTAACTAATTTTTTATTTTCACTGAAAATAAACTTTGGTCTAGTTGCCATGATTTAACATTTTTAGATACTTAAGGACTGCCTGCATTCAATTCTGCTCTCTCAAGTTTACCCATGATAGATAGATAGATAGATAGATAGATAGATAGATAGATAGATAGATAGATAGACAGACAGACAGACAGACAGACAGACAGACAGACAGACAGACAGACAGACAGACAGACAGACAGACAGACAGACCGATAGACCTTTATTGTCATTTTTTTGTACTGTGGGCACAATGGCACAAATTAAAAATGAAATTTTGTTGCTTGCTCTCAAAACATGCTATATACAACATATGTATAAACCTACACCCTTACATATAAGTAGTAATATAAATATTAATCACTGTCCATCTTAAATACATAGCGGAAAGAGGAAGCTTGAGAGTTCACAAGGTTGATATTGTACGGAACAAAACTGTGGCTGAATCTGGATGTTCTGCTTCAGATACCACGAAGCCTCCTCCCAGAAGGTAACAAGGAAAACAGGTTGTGAAGAGGATGTGTAGTGTCCCAGACAATCTTGTGAATTGTATTGCAAAACAGTGTTATTCTAGCTATTCATTGCATGACGGACAGATTTGTTTAAACAGCTTGAATATGCCAATACCTATCTTTCTGCTTTCCATCAGGATTTTTGCAGACATCCACAGAGTTGGAAAGTGCCCCTTCAGCTTTCCAGCCAGAGAGAGCTATGTCTTTCTCTTTTTTCCCTTTTTGTGTCCCGGATGACTCTGAAAGAAAAAGGGGGCATTCAGGTAGAATTGTAGCCAACTGAACAGCATAAGGATACCACTCAGTCACTATGAAAAGTACCACAGTCACCCAAGCCCTTGATATTCTTCCTTAGGTTGGATTGGTGAGGATCAAAAACTTTAAAGTAAATTTGTCTTTGAGAACAGGGGGTTCCAATAAAAAATCTGAATCCCCAATACTAACTCCCTCCCCAAGTTATGCCATTACATGTCATTCTATTTGCCAAAGGAAAAAAAGTGGAATTAAGGGCAAATGTCACTTATTTCTAAATCCTTCTTTTATACAATGATTTACATTTATTCCCAATTTGTACTATTTTTGTCCTGCACATTCACAGTTAAAAATAATAACCCCTGAGCAGGCAGGGGTGCAATACACTGAAAAACTAGTTGCAATAAATAAGATTAAAATTTAAAAATAAGTTACACTATTTTTCAAAATTATTGTAGACAAGATTATCTTTAAAAATAGGTTATAGGTTATAACTAGTTTTAAAACGCCATGATACAGGACCACCAAGGCAAACAAGAGGAAATGGGGCAGATTAAAGCAACTGGAAAGTGATTTTGTATGTATCCAGGATGCCAGTCCATCATTCCCTTCACATCTAAGAATTCCCCAGATCTGCAATGGCTGGTTGGCATTTCTGATCACCCATCATAAAGAACAGCTGGATTCTTACCTAATAGCCTCTTCCAGTTTTTGATAAGGAGTTTAGCCAGAGCCACCACTTCCTTTTCTGAGCAATGTTTACGCACTGTGTTGACAGCCACACCAATTTTGGTGGTCTGAAACAAAGCAAAGAAAGATTTGCACTACTGGAATCTTTTGTGGGGAGAAGAATCTCAGTATCCCCATTTTCAAATCATCATTACAAGGGATGCCAAGACAGAGAAGACCTTTCCCTGTTCAAGATGCTGCATTTCCTTAATTCTTCCTCACCGCCAATGAAAACGATGGAAAATCATGTATCCAATTTATTTATTTACTAATTTGATCCATTTACAACCCTCCTCAATTGCCAAAGTGGTGGCAATGCATTAAAAAGATCCACGTGTCGAGGGGGGTAGCGGATTGTCAAAATCTGCACAATCGGGTGCAACTATTATGAAAAGAGATGGGTGTCCATTTTGACATCATGCAGATTCTGGGGCTTCCTGGCACATAGTCCTGATTGAAACCAAGCAAAAAGAAAATGATAAACCATTGAACAAAACCAGAACAACAGAGTTGGAAGGGACCTTGGAGGTCTTCTAGTCCAACCCCCTCCTCAAACAGGAGACCCTTTACCATTCCAGACAAATCTTAAGACCCTTGGAGCACCCACAACTTCTGGAGGTAAGTTATTTCACTGATTAATTGTTCTGTCAACAAATTTCTCCTTAGTTCTACATTGGTTCTCTCCTTGATTAGCTTCCATCCATTGCTTCTTATCCTGCCTTCTGCCTTTTCTAATACTGGTAATAACCAGTATTACCACATTGGATAATGGGGAGAAAACACCTTAAATAACCAAGGGTCAGACATTTGAAAGATGTGATCTTCAAGGGAAGAAGGGACATAAAATAAGTGTTAAAATTCTCTTCAGGTTTTCCAACCATCCATCAGACTAGAACTGAAGGATGGCTGAGGGACATCAAATGCTGGTAATGTGGATTAATTAACAATCATTAGAATAATGATGTGTCTGCATAATTACTGGAATAATGCTGCATTAGTAGTATGTGACTAACCTAATGCGCACTGCACTTGGATACAATGTATGTAGCAAACTCTCCATTGTATACCCGTGAGAAACGAACCTAATGTATTACAATGTGTATTTCAATGTATATCCCTTTGTTCCTGAGAAAGGGAAAGTATAAAACTGAAGTCTGAACCCGCCCTCGGGGTTCAGAATTGCTGGTTGCTATTGCTTCTGAACCTGAGCAATAAATCTCTCTGCTAAAACCCTCTGGAATTCGTAAGAGTCCTTCCGTTTTCCACAAGACTGGATGGCATTGGATCACCTTTCTTCTCTTAGCCTCCCTCTCAGGGCTGTTGAGAAGACAAAGTAGATACTTGGACTGAGGAAGTCTCTCTGCATTGCCTCTGCAGTTCCTGCAGGAAAGCTAAAATTAACCTAACAGAGGCTGATGACAACCGTTTGTTAGAGATGCCTCTCTCCCATGCTGGTTCTGCTGCCAGTAATTTGCACTATCCTTACCATGAGCATATCAAGCATGTAACAGTGTGCTTAACAACCATGCAGGATTCATTTAACAGTGGTAACCGGAAGTGCTGTAACTGCTGTCCCTAAGTGGCATGGTAACATGATATCTTGCTTTACAACTGTGATGCTTAGCAACATTGTGATTGGCCCAATAACCATTGTTAGGTGAAGACTGGCTGTTTTAGTGCTGAAACACTGTGGAATGCTTAGAGTTAAACAGGCTATGAAAAAGGTTTCAATCTACATTTCCCAAGACAGGGGTCTTCAAACGTGGCCTTTTTATGACTTGTGGATTTCAACTCCTAGAATTCCTCAGACAGCCAGTCTAGGAGTTGAAATCCAAAAGTCATAAAAGGGCCAAGTTTGAAGACCCCTGTCCCAAGAGAACAAAGCAACTCCAGCCTTACCTGCAGCAGCAAAACGGTCATGGTGCAGCTATTCAATTTCTTCAATAAGTCCAGAGCTCCTTCCTAAGAGGGGGAGTGGGCAGAAAGAGCACAGAAGGCATCATTTAGTCTTCATTTTCTGTTTTTCTATCATTTTTCATCCAAGGCAAGTATTTAAAGGTTCCATGAGAGCAAAAAGTGCCAGCTTCTGAAGCAAAGAGAGGTTGCAAATGCTCTTATAAAAACATCTCCAATCTTGAATGCAGCTGGTCACAAAGCATTCGCTTTTATTTATTTCATTTTTGGCCCACCTTTATTATTTTATAAGTAACTCAAGGTGGTGAACATACATAATACTCTTTCCTCCTCCTATTTACTCCCAAAGCAAACCTGTGTGGTGGATTGGGCTGAGAAAGGGAGGCTGGCCCAAAGTCACTCAGTTGGCTTTCATACCTAAGATGGGACTAGAACTCACAGTCTTCTGGTGATTGGCCCAAAGTCACCCAGCCGGCTTCCATGCCTAAGGTGGAATTAGAACTCACTGTCTCCTGTTTTTCTTGATCTTTTAGCCCCCTATCTCCTTCACAACTCTTTCATTTTTTAAGTATTTCCTAAGAGTTTCTGTTTGGCTTCTCTAAGACCTTGCTGCAAATAAAATATAAGGCAAGAGGCAGGGAAATTAAATTGGAATATGCCAGCTTCTCAATTATAAATTTCTCTTCATTAAAACAATTAAAACAATTGCTAATTGGAGCATTGGCCAAGATAGATCACAAACAAGGTGTCTCAAGACATATTGATAAGATGAACTTCGGGCAATAGATGTTCCCAACTGATTTTGTTAGCCACAGACAATGGAAATCAAAAGAAGTTGATTTTTCTTTCTTTCACTAATTTGTGACATTAATAAGAACAGATCCATGAAATAGATCAGTGTTTCTCAACTTTGGCAGCATGGACTTCAACTCCCAGCATTCCCCAGCCAATCTTCTGGGAGTTGAAGTCCACACATCTTCAAGCTGCCAAGGTTGAGAAACACTGAAACAGAAAATCTGGAAGGGAATTTGAAGGGAAGACAAAGATCTTTACAAGATCTTCCAATTTTGCTTTTGCAAGGCTCAGGGGTGGTCTCTGTGCCACAAAAAGTCAAAGTGCACGTCAAGTAATTTCCATCATTATGTTTAGCAGCCAAGCCATGATCTGCATTTAATACAACTGCCCCTCAGGGGGGAAAAAAAGCTCCCCTTTTCAGTTTGTGGTCTTCTTGTTTGGTGAAGCTCCTTGCAGAGATGAAAAGGTTAGCAAGTAAGAAGCTCAGCTACTGGCAACAGCGTATGTAGAGATCCAGACTACAGCTCAATAGTGCCTGTAATGGTGGTGGTGGAAAACTCCTCTTCCATAGCTTTGTTCAAGACTCCATCCAGCGAGGAGTCCTTAGTGCTCTCTGAGCTTGGTTGTTTTCTTACAGATGTTTCATTACCCAAACTGGTGCAGTCAGTGCATTGATGATGTTAGTTTAGATAATGAAACGTCTGCAAGAAAACAACCAAGCCCAGAGAGAACCAAGGACCCCTCATTTTAACCCTGGGTTAGAAAAATTCTCCCTTTTTTTTTGTACTCCATCCTGTATTAAAACACCATAAGTAAAAGAAGTGGTATCTTTTGTGATATCTTTTCCGAGCCTGCTACTAAGTAACCTCTGTTTCAGCAATATCATCCCCCATCTGAATGTCTTCAAAGGCCAAAGATAAATCCAATATATAATTTTGCCATCTGTCTCTTGCATAGATTCAATTCCCAGCAATTGCCAATCTTCTGCTCATTTAGAAAGCTAAGGAAGAGCAGAAAGGGGGAGGGAGTGGAGGAGGAAAGAGAAAGAGAGAGAGAAAGTGATAAAACATATGCTTCCTTTTGTTGTTGTCTTCACGCTGTGATGTATGAATATCAGAAATGGAAGGGACATTACACTGGGCCATTTTGATCACATGATGATCTGTTCTAGTTTCCTCAGCTAAAGGCCACATATTATGCATTCATTCTTACCACTGTACATCACCTACTCCACATTTCTATGGAGCTCGCAATAAAACCACTAAAGCATCAAGAGACAAAACATTTAATACATCATGTGCTTGTTAACTCTATCTCCTTGGTGGTAGCGTCAGCAAATGCTAGACACCAGGAAATTCCAAGACTGGCTGGGGAAGTCAAAAAATAGCCAAGAAGGCAGTGACACATTATTTGCATATGATTGCTTTAAAAACCCAATATGCAGTGGTGGGATTCAAATAAGTGAACAACTGGTTCTCTGTGTGGATGCTGCTTCCGGAAGTCTGTTCTGGGCCTGGGCAACAAAAAATTAGCTACCGGTTCTGCCAAAGTGGTGCGAACCAGCTGAATCCCACCACTTCCAATATGCATGTGTCCATGACATGATCAAAAGCCAAGCTTAACAGGATGAGATTTTTGTTTTTCTAAAAAAGCAAAATGGAATGAGAAACATTGACAACACTGCAGCTGGGACATGTTTCAAAAATGAGAATCGTGTTTGCTTTACTGTCATCCTTATCCCCTTTGGCTTATCATTTTTATTCCAGAAACATATTGAAGCTGACTGTTGCTTAATATTGAAGAAAATTAGTGGCCTGTTTCACCCAAGCTGGCCTTCCCCAAATCAAAAGTTCTAATCCTGCTCCAACATAGAACGTCCACCTTTGTAATTGAAGGAGATCTAGGAAAATAAGATTAAAGAAGTTGTTTGTAGTCCACCCAGGCTAGAACAAAGTTTGCAAGGAAAGTCAAACATTAACCTCCAGGTCTAATCTTGCTGTAGAGTGCTCAGTGCTTTTCATGCTTACATTTCTGGGATTTAAAGGGCTAAAGCTTCCGATTCTAACCAAATGTGCTGCTTCTGCTGCAAAAATATATCTTTCAGCTTAAATAGGTTTCTGGAATAAATATCATAAACCAAAGAGGATAAGGATGACAGTGAAGCAAAGATGATTCTCATTTTTGAAACATGTCCCAATTAAGCGACTAGCCTTTTCACCTTTTTTAAAGCAGGGGCACCTTTCAAGAACAGAATAGCTGACAGAAGCAGCCCCCATGTAAGAATTATAAAATATTACAGGTGGACAACTTTTGTTCCTCACTTGCCGAAGTGTCAATTAGTCTTTTTTCTGCTTCCAGATTCAAGACTTTTTTTTTAATTTAACCTTTGAAAATGCTCAGTGTGAGCGTTTAAAGTCAGATGCCTCACCAGTTTAATCTAGTATATGAATTATACAACTCATCTGGGTTTCTGTACACCATTGTTGTTGTTCTGTTAGGTCTGTATAGGTTCCAGAGGCCAAGGAACACATTTTGGGGAGAGGGCACCAAATGAGATAGACCACATCACATATATAAGTGAGAGTTGATTTTTGGAAAGGAACTGGATTTACTTTTTAAGTGTCATTTGTCTATTTGGGGATTTATTATTTTTCATATGAAAAATGGTAGAAATTGTCTTGCATTTTCAACAATCATGCCTAGTGGGACTTCTGAGAGACCAAAAACGAAAGATGAGGATTAGGTACAGTTCTTAAGCTACAATTAGCTTACTCTAGATTAGGCAATACAACCACAACATCGCTATCAGTAACAAAGTAACCACACTCACTATGAATAGAGGTTGGCCAGTTGTAGAAGAGCGAGTCACCCTGGTCTAGTGCAGGGGTCTTCAGACTAGGCCCTTTTATGACTTGTGGACTTCAACTCCCAGAATTCCTCAACCAGCGTGCCTGGCTGAGGAATTCTGGGAGTTGAAGTCCACAAGTCATAAAAGGGCCAAGTTTGAAGACCCCTGGTCTAGTAGTTAAGGCACCAGGGTAGAAAGCATGAGACCATGAGTTCGAGTCCCACCTTACTCATGGAAGCTGGCTGGGTAACTTTGGACCAGTCACTCTCTTTCAGCTCACCTCACCTCACAGGGTGGTTGTTGTGGCAAAAATAGGAAGAGGAAGGTGTGACGGATATGTTCGCCACCTTGACATTTGTAAAAATAATAAAGGCAAGATATAAACAAATAAAAAAAATATCAATATCAGCAACAAAGTAACCATGAATAGAGAGGTTGGGCAATTGTGGAAGAGTTGGCCCTGGAATGGATTTGTTGAACCAACTTGAATGCTGCCAGTGGAAAAGTCTACGTAGAGCCAAGGTCTGGCAAACAAACATTTAATGAGGCTGAAGCATGCACTATTGGAAGAAAAGCAGGACTGCCTCCTACCTGCTGGCTCAAATCAAAACAGATTTTGTAGCTTAATTACACACCTCTAAGATCTTGTTCCCTTCTCAACCTCCAAGAGCCTTTAGCTGAGACCATGAATGTGGTCAATAAATAATCTAAATTAACATCATAATTGCCAGTAAATATCTACTTGCCTCCAGAAGTTTTGGGTGCTCCAACACTGGAGGTTTTTAAGAGGAGACTGGACAGCCATTTGTCTGAAATTGTATAGGGTTTCCTACTTGAGTTGGGGGGCTGGGCTAGAAGACCTCCAAGGTCCCCTTCCAACTGTTATTCTATTATACTAGTAGGAGGACTCTTCCTGCTTCACAAGGGTTCCATTGGCCTGGCATCTTCCAAAATTTCAGGCTGGGTTGTGTCATGTTCAGTTTAAGAAATAGAGATGTGGGCCACTCCACCTTATTGAAAGCAGATAGTGCACAGGGGCCCCCTCCCCTCTCCCCTCCTCCTCTGATATTTCTACTTCTCCCAGACTATCCCTGCCTTAGGAGCCCTGCCCAAAGATCAAATTTAAGAGCTCCAGCCTTTGCCAAACACCTGTTCCCCAAAGCCTTCCGCCATCTGGGTCTGGGTCTGAACGTTGACTGCAACTCAGATGTGATTTCTGCTTGGTTACACACGGGGGAACGGGGGAAGAAAAAGCTGGAACTGAAAGGAAGCGGAAGAGGTCACCGAGTGAATGGGTACTGATTTAGCCAAGGTTACATGAATGTAACCCCCTTCCCCTTCCCCTTCCTCTCCTCCCCTCCCCCGCGCGTTTTCCAAGATGCACGCCTCTCTTTGCCTTCTGAACAATTTGCAACACTCCGAAGGGTAACCGAAAGCAGGAAGCGCTTGAAAACAACGGCGAATTACACAAACTCCAAAGCCTGCAAAAGCCCGCCGCGGTTGTGTAGCAAGCGAAAGCGCAACATTAGCCTCCCCCCCCCCCCCAAGCCAACGCAGACACAACGCGTAACACGAAGTTTTCGCTTACCGTGTTCTTCCTAGACACCATCTTCTCCAACTTTTTGGCCATCCGGATTAGCTCCTCCGCTTGCCCCATGGCTTCGGCCGTCTAAACGGGCGTCCACACGCTGTCCCCCTCCGCCCAGATCCAGAGATACGTGTTTGTTTATGTACGTATGGATCAAAACACAGCTCGGGGGACGACCCGCCGTCGGGTCTGTTTTCATAACACGTCTAAGGTTTCAGGGGTTCGATTTGTTTATTTAGGGAAGAACCAGGAAAGTGCTTGTGGCATTAAAAAGAGGGTGGGGGGGAAGAAAAAAGTTTTTGCGCTAACTAACTACAAGTTGGACCAAGGGAAGAGAAAGCAGGAGAAAGGGGGGAGTGGCGACCCAAGGACTTATAAACGACGGCCATGCAGTCGAAATAGTACCCTGGGACTAGCTAAATATAGGAGTCAAGGATCAACTGGTGGAAAAAAACAAATCGCAGGCAGGGCGAGATGGGCGGCGATTGAGACCACGTGCGAAGGGATGTGCTGAGCTCTACAGGGTGGGGTTAAAGCGAGGAGACCTTTCCGAGGAGCTGCTTCACGGTTTGAGGGAGGCGAGAACTGCTCGCCCAGCTGCCTTGCGATGCTATTGACGCCCTAAGGCAGGGGTCTTCTAATTTGGCCCCTTTATGACTTGTGGACTTCAACTCCCAGAATTCCTCAGCCAGTACGCTGGCTGAGGAATTCTGGGAGTTGAAGTCCACAAGTCATAAAAGGGCCACGTTTGAAGACCCCTGCCCTAAGGCAGTATTTCTCAACTTTGGCAACTGGAAGATGGGTGGACTTCAACTCCCAGGCAGCTCGGCAAAGAACTCCGCCGGCTGGGGGAATTCTGGGAGTTGAAGTCCACACTGATCTTCAAGTTGCCTAGGTTGAGAAACACCCGTCCTGAAGGGTAGGTCTTCCAGGTGACCTTTAAACTCCCATTCAATGGAATGGGGTCCCACACGCCCCATTTTGAAATTAAGTTATAGCCTGTTGTAGTATCAAGGGATCAAGAGCTGTGGCTTGTGAGGTTTTGGTTTTGTTTGTTTTGGCCTCAGGTGTGTTAGCTAAAAGTTGTGTTATAGAATTTTAAAAGGGAAATTGGCACCTGATTGGTAGCAGTGGGTTGTTGATACGTTTTGACTGTCAACATTTGAATTGGATTTGGGGGTGGAGCGAGGGGGGAGAGAAAGAGGAAGGAATGATAGTTTTGAACAATATTATTCAAAGTTTGGAGTCATTCTGTTTATAACCTAATTTGACACACCCTGTTTTCTTAATTATTAAAGTTGAAGGTACATGTTTTGGTTAACCGTGCTGAACATGTGTATACTTTTCTGTTGTTAATTAGTTCACTATTTTAAAACAAAATAAAATATGGGGGTCATCAAGGTGTGGGAAGTCAGCCCCCCAGAGAAGAAAATATTAAAAGGGCAGAAAAATGTATTTCCTCAAAAGGATTTTAAAAGCAGAAACCAACCCTACCCCAAGTCTCTCTGTCCCAAGCAGAAGCCAGCCCTGTACAAATGCAGATGCAAACCATCAGGAAAGTTGGAGCTAGAAGCTTAGGAAAACAAAGACATCTAAAATCTGCATACCCCACCCAAACTCTAGGAGTCATTAGCCCCAGCACCAGGGAAGCAGGATATAACCCTTGGGACATAATAAGATTAACCCACCACTATCAAGAATGCCAGAAAGGCATACCCAAACTCAGGTCAGAATACGTGACACAGGAAATACAAAGCCTGAAACAGGAACAGGAAACTATTTCAAACAAAAGGCTCGAGAGGGCATAAAAACCTACTACCCACATGTGCTTAGTCCTTTTTCTCTCCTCTTTCCTGCCAGAACCATCTTTCTGTCTGGCTCTTCAATAAACTGCAACCTTATTTCTAAAGCAGTCGTCATGTTGTTTATCCCCGGCTTGGATGAATCATGATGAAGACTTTTCTTTCAAAGGCCTCTTTGACACAATCTTGATCTCCCCTGGACAACAGCCTGCAACACTTTTGAGGCCATTCTTTTGATTCCACCTATTCATCTTATCTGTCTTCCTCCCATTCCTTGCCAAATATAATCCTTTTTAGTCTAGTATCCATTTGCATGACAGACTCAAGGTTTATACATTTCATCACTTCAAGAGCCAATCTTCCAGGGGGCGGAGCCAGCTGTCAGAGCGGGCAGCAGTGTGGATGGTTTCACCGGCATCGTCGAACACTTATCCTAGGTCCATGGGGCTTATCTGAGCAGAAATAAACCTTGTGGGGGCGTCGGAAGGTGTAGGCGATCTGCTGCTCTGTCGTCGGTGGCGACTAGCGGGGAGTGGCGGACAAACCCAGTACCGAGCAGATCGGAAGGAAGACGGCCTTAATGACTGCCGAAGTTGCCAGCTGGACAAAGTAAGCGAGGGACTAGCTGAACAACAGTAAATCAGACTTGATCAAATTGCTTTCCCCAGAACTTTGCGAATTGTTTATGGTAGATGCGTTAAAGGAGAATTGTGGAGAGGGAAAGCCTGGAAAGAGAGAAGTCAAAGGAGTGGAAAAGATAGCGGCGAGTCAAAGTGACAGGAAGAACACCCAGAAGGGCTTGGCGTGGAGGAGCCAGGCTGCTCTGGATTTAAAGACTTGACACTTTAAACGACATAAAAGGATAGGAATTAACTTTTATTCATGTCAAGAACTTTGTTTGTCTTCGGGCTTCGATTTGTCTGCTGAGTGGATTGGTCGGTTTAAAGGAGACGATCTTCTTCTTTGGAGCTCTTGGTTTTTTTTTCTTCTCTCCAGAAAGAAATAGATACTCCATGATAGAATGTAACCGGAATGTTATAGAGACTTTTAATTCTTGAAAACGTTGCTGATAAGATTGATCGTAAATATTTGGTTGTATACCAACGTTATTGTTGATGGTTAAACATCTGGAAAGGGAATAATGTAAAGGGGGTGAAAGTGGAAGAACGGAAAGAGGGAAGTGGAAAGCGGACATTTTGGAAGAAGAATAAGTGGTGGGAGAGTCTATTTAAAATGGCAAGTAATCCAAACTCAGTCAAGATTGGTGGAGGGAAGAAAAACGTAGTTCAAGGTTCCAGTCCCAGGCGTTACATTTCCACCCCCTTTTTCCTCATGGCAGGTGGAAGGGAGACTTCAGAGAGGAGTACATGAAAGGTGATGGGCCCTATTGTTATGGTTAGTCCTTTTGGTGATATCCACATTCAGTCCCTTTGAAGTTGTAACGAAGGAAGTGAGAGCCATAAAACCCTTTGCTCATCCCCCTTCCCCTTCATAGTATGACAGAATCCAGAGAGGGCAGAAATGGGGTTTTCCATAGTCGATAACTAGAGATGAAATATAATTGGATTCTGACATCCTGCCCCCTTAAAAATAAGATAGATCCACCTGAAAAGAGAACAAAACAGGTATAAAAGTTAGTCTGGCTTGTTAGGATACTCTGTGTGAAATTTCTTTAATAGCTTCGGGGCTCTGACATGACGTTTATGGACCCACTCGTTTTGTGAGGCAGGGAGGTGTTTCCACGCTACTAGATACTGAGTTGCTCCACGATATCTCCTAGAATCTAGGATTTCCTTTATGTCGTTGTTCGCCCTCCACTATGATTGGAGGTGGGGGGAGGATTTTTGGCCGTAACGGTGACTGATACTCTCTTTTCAGCAAGCTGCAATGAAAAATTGGGTGTATTTGCCTGAGATTTTTGGGTAATTCTAATTCTACTGTTACTGGGTTTATGATTCTTTTAATTGGAAAAGGCCCTATATATTTTGTTCCAAGTTTTTTACAGGGTTGTAGGGACTTTAGGTATTTTGTAGATAAGTACACCATTTCTCCTATTATGAATGGTGTAGACTCAACCCTTTTTTTATCGGCTTGTGCTTTGTATGCTTCCCTAGCTTCATCTAGTGCTTTTCTAACTATTGGCCAGGTGTTTTGTAATTGTTCCATCCATTCTTTCAGTGATGAGATCGCTGGTTCGTTTGGGGTTAGCTCTGGCATGGGGTTGAAACTTTGACCGGTAGCTATTTGAAAGGGAGTGTAATCTATGCTGGAGTGGACTGCATTATTGTAGGCAACTTCTGCAAAAGGGAGTAGGTCCGTCCAATTCATTTGCTGGAAATCAATAAAGCATCTTAAATATTGCTCAGATACTGAGTTCGAAAGTTCCGCTTGTCCATTTCCTTGTGGATGATGGCTAGATGTCAGTCCCTGAGTGGTCCCTAAGAGGAATAAAAATTCCATCCAAAATGAAGATGTAAATTGCACTCCCCTATCAGATATGATGCGTTGGGGTGCCCCATGCAATCTGTAAATATGCTGGATGAAAAATTTCGCTAAGGCTTTAGCGGTGGCAATCTTTTGGCAAGGGATAAAGTGCACCTGTTTGGAAAACAAGTCCGTGACCATCCAGACAACAGTATTCCCATTGCTTTCTGGTAATTCCACTATAAAATCCATGGCTATTTCCCTCCAGGGGGCTGAGGGATTTGCCATTGTTTGTAACAGTCTGGGCGATTTCCCTTGCAACCTCTTTGCAGTTGCACACTTTGGGCAGCTGGCCATGTAACATTCTATGTCCTTTTTTATGGATGGCCACCAAAATTGCCGTTTAATTAAGTGTAATGTTTTTACAAATCCAAAATGCCCTGCTGATTTTGTGTCGTGGCAAAGCTGCATGAATGTGACTCTTTGGGTTCTTGGTATATATAACTTTTCCCCCACCCAAGGTAGCCCGTCTATCATGGTGCACATGTGTTTATTTTTCTGAAACCATTCATCTGTTTCCAAACTTTTCCAGAATTCAATTCTGGTTTGGCTGCCCAGCTGTGGTTTTAATTTAACTTGGGCTCTGGTGGTTACTGGTGCTGCCAGTTGTGATTCTACCATCATCGGTTTAGAGTCTGTGGCTCGCATGCTGTTATATTGTTATATACTGCCAGGAAGTTCTTTCCCCCCGGCAAATGCTTGAACCTAAATTGGAACTGGTGAAAATGCTGGGACCAGTGGGCTTGTTTGGGGTTGAGCTTCCTGGGTGTTTTCAGGGCTTCCAAATTTTTGTGGTCAGTCCACACCTGGAAGGGGATTTTGTTGCCTTCAAGGAACTGGCACCACGTGAGTAATGACCAACGTATCCCGTAAGCCTCTTTCTCCCATACGGGCCAGTGCTGTTCCGTTTCCGAGAGTTTCTTGGATGTATATGCACAGGGTTGCAATACCCCTTCATCAGCCCCCACTGCCACATCACTTGCATCCGCCTGTATTATGAAGGGCTTATCCATGTCTGGATGCCTCAGTACTGATTTGGCAGGAAAAAAGTCTCTTTAATCTCTCAAACACTGTGTTCTATCCCAGCCTATAGCCATCCTTGTTAAAGGCACAAGGACCAAACCCCTGTTGATAAAATAGGCTGGAGACTTTAAAACAAAACAAACCCCTTT